AGTTTATGTAATAATCTAAATCCTTTGTTTTCATTTCAACAATCTTGATAGTATCTTCAACAGGAGTGGATTCATCTCAAGAAACCACTTTCTTTGTTCATCCATAAGAAGCAACTCCTCATTTGTTCAAGTTTTATCATGAGATTGCAATAATTCAGTCCCATCTTCAGGCTCCACTTCTAATTCTGGTTCTTTTCTACTTCCACTTCATCTGCAGTGACTTCCTTCACTGAAGTTTTGAACCCTTTAAAGTCATCCACGAGGACTGGAATAAACTTTTTCCAAACTCTTGTTAATGTTGATGTATGACATTTTCCTACGAATTATGAATGTTCTTACTGGCATCTAGAATAGTTTTTAATTTATTTTGCCCAGATCATCAGAGGAATCACTATCTTTGGCAGCTATAGCCTTATAAAATGTATTTTTTAGATAATTAGACTTGAAATATGAAGTGACTCCTTGGTCCATGGGCTGAAGCTGGCTATTGTGTTAGCAGGCATGAAAGCAGTAATCTCATTGCACATCTCCATCAGAGCTCTTGGGTGACCAGCTACATTGTCATTGAGCAGTAATATTTTGAAAGAGATCTTTTTTCTGAGCAAATCTGAACAGTGGGCTTAAAATATTTAGTAAACCATGTTGGTTTTATTTTTTAACCTGAACCATATTCAGCCTGCTTTTTGGTTCTATTTATAGAACACAGAATAGATTTATCATGATACTTAAGGGCCCTAAGATTTTCAGAATGATAAATGAGCATTGACTTCAACTTAAGGTCACCAGCTGCATTGGCCTTTAACAAAGGAGCCAGTCCTTTGAAGTTTTGAAGCCAGGCATTAACTTCTCCTCTCTAGCTATGAAAGCCCTAGATGGCATCTTTTTCCAGTAGAAGGTTGTTTCATCTACATTGAAAATCTATTGTTTAGTGTAGCCACCTTCATTAATTATCTCAGGTAGAATCTCCTGGATAACTTGCTGCAGCTTCTTCATCTGTACTTGGTGCTTCACCTTGCACTTGGATGTTATGGAGATGGTGTCTTCCTTAAACCTCATGAACCAACCTCTGCTAGCTTCATAGTTTTCTTCTGTAGCTTCCTCACCTCTCTTAAACTTCATGGAATTGAAGAGAGCTAAGACCTTGTTCTGAGTGAGGCTTTGGCTTAATCCTGTGGCTGGTTTGATCTTCTCTCCGGATCACTAAAGCTTTCTTCACATCAGCCAAAAAGCTGTTTTGCTTTCTTATAATTTGTGTGTTCAGTGGAGTAGCACCTTTAATTTCCTTGAAGAACTTTTCCTTTGCATTCACAGCTTGGCTAACTGTTGGGTGTAAGGGGTCTAGCTTTCAGCCTGTTTCAGATTTTGCCATGCCTTCCTCACTAAGCTTAATTATTTCTAGCTTTTGAATTAAAGTGAAAGATCCATGACTCTTCCTTTTACTGGAACACTTAGAAGCCATTGTAGGGTTATAAACTGGCCTAATGTCACTATTGTTGTGTGTCAGGGAAGAGGGAGGCCCAAGGGTGAAGGAAAGAGATTGGGGGAATGGCCAGTTGGTGGAGCAGTCAGAAAACACACATTTAAGTTACCTTCTTATGTGGGTGTGGTTAGTGACACCCTAGAACAAGTATAAGAGTAACATCAAAGATCCTAGGTCACCATGACATTTAATAATGAAAAAGTTGGAAATATTTCAAGAGTTACCAAAATGTGACACAAAGTGAATGTTGGAAAATTGGCACCAATAGACTTATTCAGCAAATTGCCACAAATCTTCAGTTTGTAGAAAATGCAGTATTTGTGAAGCACAGCAAAATGAGGTATGCCTGTATATATCATGCAAGTCTCTATGGGCCTGGAAGATTTCTGCTGAAAAATCTGCTGATAGTCTCATGTGTGGTGGGTCCCCTTACATAACAAGTTTTTTTTCCCCTGTTTTTAAGATTCTCTCCTTATCTTTAAATTTGACAATTTAATCACAGTGTATCTCAGTGCTAATCTCTTTGGGTTCATCTTATTTAATATTCTGGGCATCCTGGATCTGCATGCCTGTTTCCTTTCCCAGGTTAGGGAAGTTTTCAGCCATTATTATTTAAATACATTTTCTGCCTCTTTCTCTATTTCTCTTAGGGGACAACACCAAGCAGACCAACATTCACATCATGGGGTCCCCAATCTTTTTTTTTTTTTTTTGCTGTTCTGATTGGATAATTTCCACTGCCCTTTGAATTCATGGATCCTTTTTTCTGTCTTCAAGTGTGCTGTGCAACTCCTCTGTAGTATTTTTCTGTTCAGTTATTGTATTCTTCAGCTCTGTCACTTCTATTAGGTACTTTGTTCTATTTTTGTTGAAATTTTCACTTGATTCATGTGTTATTCTCTTGAATTCAGTGGACATCTTTATCACTGTTATTTTGAGCTCATTGTCAGGCAAATCACTTATCTCCATTTCATTAAGGTCTTTTTCTGGGGTTTTATCTTGTTCTTTTGTCTGGAACATATTCCTCTGTTTCTTCATTTTGATCTATTCTCTGTATTGGTGTCTATGCATTAGATAAAAGAGCCAAGTCTCCCATTCTCCTCTGGCTTATTAGCTCTTGGCTGTCTCTCAACCTCTGTGACTGTCCAAGCAACCTGCTTTATTCTTAGTGGCTCCCAGAAGTGGAGGTTGTGCCAAGACCTTTCATTGTCTCAAAGGGGAGGATCTCAGTCAGCATCTGGATTCAGGCTGATTGGAAAGCAGAACTTGAAGTAGTAACTTTTAAAGTTTGCAGATTTCTCTTTCAGGGGAAGATAAGAAGATGGGCATTTCTGTATGCTCCCTCTGTGCTGAGGTCTGTGGTGCTAGACAGTTAATAAGTGTTTCTTTGGTTGCTACTGTCCTAATGAACTCATAAACACGTGCCATGTTCTCAAGGGATGGGTCCTCTGAGCATCAGACACAAAAGCCAGGGTGCTAGATGTGTAGACAAACTCCTTTCTTGAGGTTAACCTGGAACAGAGGGAGAGCATGAAGAGGACTCCCACAGGCCTCCACAGTCTTTGGAGAGTCTTTTCAGTTTGTTAAATTAGAAACCTGCTTATCAGGCCAAAACTCTAAGATAAGCAAATAGACTTTTTTCACAGAAAGATGGGGTGCTTTTCAGTCTGTTGCCTCTACACTGGGTCCTGAGGGGTGGTTGCCATGAGGTTTTTAGTTTTGTATAGCCTGTGAGTCTCATGGACGTAAGTCTGGTGGCTTTCAAAGCTACCTTTTGCACAGGGGCTCCTCTCTCAGATACACATCTTAACGGTTGGGGTTCAAATCCTTTGCTCCTCAAGGAGAAGCTCAGAATTGTGAGTCTCCTCCCAATTCTGAGTTGTGGCACTGGGGCTGGGGTTGATGGTATGTGTCTTGGCCTCTTCTACATATCGCAATGTGGGTTTTTTGCTTGTTTGTATAATATGTAGGAGTCACTCAACAATTGATTTTTCAGAGGAAATTGTTCTTTAGGTAGCTGTATATTTGGTGTGTCCATGGAAGGAGAGGAGTTCAGGATCCTCTTATGTCACCATCTTGAACTGGAATCTCTTGTCTTTTTGATAAGAGCCATTCTAATAGGTAGGAGGTGATAATATTGTGGTATGGATTTTCATTTCTCCAATGAGTAGTGATGTCTAGCACCATTGCATATACTTGTTGGCTGTATTTATATCTTTGGAGAAATCTGTTGAGGTCCTCTGAGAGACCCTGGAACTGGTATGCAGATGACTGCAGGGTTCCTAGGTAGAAATGAGGTCTCTCTGCCTGTTACCCGATACATGGGTGGCCCAGACTCCTCCTGGATCCCATAGCTCTCTCAAAGGCACTAATATTTAGGGATGGATGCGCAATTTTTATTGTTGGGCTGGGGGACAAAAACGAGAGAGGTCTTAGGCTGCTGTGATGCTAATGTCACTCTTCAATCTTAGGACAATATTATTTGTTGTATATATGTTTGTACATGTGGGAGTATTTCAATGAGATCACTGTGACTAGGTCACAGGGACTTGCAGTTTTCATTTTGGTAGATATAGCCAAATCACTTTTTATAGAGGTTTACACTCTATCCACAGGATAAGAGTGCCTATTTCTCCAACTATTGACTTTATTTTGCCAGTCTGAAAAAGAGCAATTCATTATAGCCCTAATTGGCATGTATCTTTATATTTCCTTTCCAGTGAACTATCCCTATTCTTTTTGTATTTTTCTTTTTTTTAAGTAATCTCTACACCCATGTGGGGCTCGAGCCCACAACCCTGAGATCAAGAGTCACATGTTCTACTGACGGAGCTAGCCAGGTGCCCCACTTTGTATATTTTTTTGTTTTGGGTTTTGGTCTTTTACTTATTGATTTATTGGAGCTCTTTTTTTAATTGATCGGTATAACAAAAAAAACCCAACACAAAACCACAACAACAAGAACCAGGGGGGTTTTGGTAAGAAACAAAAACTGAGTTTTTAAAAGTGCCCCTTCCTTCAAGCCCATCCTGCCATGACCAGAACAATTCCCAGAGTGGGAGTATCTGATGCATAGTGCAGCAAAGCCCTTTAAGTAAAAATACTTTGAAGGCCCTCTATGGCAGATCCTCACACTTAGGCTTGCCTGGAAAATGTTTTAAAACCAGGTTAGAATAGGCAAAAATTGCTGAATCAGAGCAAAAAGTGAAAAGTCACCAATGCCCTCAGGGAATCAATAATAGTATACAAGTTGGTAAGCATGTCAAAAGACAAAATATGCAATAGATTTTAAAAATTAAACTATGGAAGATACCCCAGAGAGGGTACTTTAATTTTGCTGTTAGGGCAGGGTTCACAGGGTGAAACCCAGAAGGGGCCTTGAGGGTTGTCCTCATCCTGGGGTTGGAGCGAATGGCTGTCAGAGCCTGTGTTGTTGGGTACATGACAGCACCCAGGGACACTGCTCTAGGGAGGTTTTATGAAACTCACCTGCCTCTCCCATGGCATTTTTTCCCCCCAGCTCATGTGTTCGTCAGTGCAGAAAGCTCTGTTTGAGGAGGAGGACCATGTCAAGAAACTGCAGCAGAAGGTGGCCACTCTGGAGAAGCGGAACAAACAGCTTCGGGATCGGGTGAAGAAGGTCAAGAGGTCATTGAGGCAGGCACGGAAGAATGGTCGCCACCTGGAGCTGGTGAACCAGAAGCTCAGCGAGAAGTTAGCAGCTGCAGCAGGTGCCCTCCCACACATTAATGCCCTGGGGCAGGAGCCACCAGGTGCCACGTACCTGCGGGGGTAACAGGGACTGGGTAATGGCCTAGCCTGGCTCTGCTGGAACATGTTGCCTCTTGCCAGGGAATGTAAAGTGATGGTAGGTTTTAATGTGCACATAGGTCAAAAAATCTTGTAGATGATGTTTTTAATATGCGTTTGGTAGTGCCTAGTTACTTGAAGGGGCAAGTCTTGCTAATTTTCTTAGTTGCTGGGCTCCTTCCCCTCTCTGCCTTGCTCCCAGACCTAGTGCTTTCACTAGTGCACGATCCTGGAATGTCATGTGCTTGCCTAGGGCCTGTCTCCAGCTTTCAGGAGCACACTGGAAAGTGTACTTACTATGGAAAGAATATTTTAGAATCTCTAGATGTATGAGAATCAAGGGTTTCAACCTTCAGAAGAGAGGCAGTGGGATCTCCAGGTCTGGGCTCCAGGACCATCATTAGTTAGAGAAGGGATCAGCAGCAAGTCTTGGAACCTTCTGGTGTCTCCTTTGCCAGTTTTGGAAGGAGGAAGGCAGGCTTGCAAAGCACCCAAGGATGCCTGCAAATATATATATATGCATGGTGTCCTTACTCCAGCCAGCATTTCCTCACAGCTGAAGCATTGGCGGGGGGCGGGGGCATGGCAGCAGGTAATTGAACAAGATGAATTATACCCAATTTCCAACACCAGTTACCCAGAGTTAAAGAGGATACCTGTGGGTCACTTTAGTCTAAAGGAGAATTGCCTTTGTGGACTGGTCATGTTTTACCAAACCATGTTCCTGAGTTGGGAAGAGCCTGAGCAATATCTCAGCCCCTACTAAATGCAGATTTACTGCTTGCTCATTAACTCCTTCCAGCTGCTTGGAATTTGAGGTAAATTGACCCAGTACACTATTAACTTCTGTTCTGCAAAGATACCTCCATACCTATTGGAATCAAGTGACCGTGCCTCATTCCCATCCAGGCACCCAAAGAGCTTGTTCCAGGCAGTTCTGCAGAGTCTCGATGCAAGCATTTTCACCACCTAAGTAAATTGGCTGTAAGGCAATTTTGCTGTCAGAGAGAAAATAACTGATTGGTTTCATTTCTCTGTTGACAAACTACGTTCCCATTTTTCTGTTACATGAATCTTAGCCCTCCTAATGGTCTATGACCAGTATACATGGTGGTCTTAAAACAGTGGATGATAACTCCATATATCAACTTGATAGAAAATACAGTAACTGGAAGTGTGAAATAAGACTATAAGGCCAGATTGCATACCATACTGTAATACAGAGTGGTAGTTTATCAGTTATAAAAGCTGTAATGCATTTCTGAGTTCTTTTGTATGTCCCATAGAACTTTTGAACATGTATTGATAGACATGCATCATTATGCTAAGAATGAACAGTAATGTAAAAGCTTTCATAGTGTAATACAAAGTTCAGTTACAAATATGCATCCTAGGATTTGGAAAATGGGTACTTCTCTTAAAAAGGACATAATGAAGAAATTAGTAAGGTGCCTCTTTTATTTTTTGTTATTTTATCTCTTATGGCCAAATTGCCTTCTGGCCAATGAGTTATGCAGTGAAAATGCTTGTGGCAAAGATGCCTATGGTGGAAATACCAGACAGGGTCCAGGCATTCCAATCTCTGCTTCTGTATGCACACACTTCCCACCCACCAGGGCTGTCCAACCCTGGGAGTAATTGAGCCCACTTGACAGTGTGTCTCTCAGAGCACTTCACCCTGTTTGGAAAGAAACCTTTAAAGACAGTACTACGAGTAAGAAGAGTATCCATTATATAGAACATCTGAGCCCTTAATTTAGGTACATTTGAACCAGTTGCAGTTTTGTTCTTAAGAAGGCAACTGAGTGAGCGTCTTGTGATCGTCTTCTCGTGGACCTCCAAATCTACAAGTCTCTTTTCCGTGTTGTCCCAGATAGAACCTTCAGGTTCCTCATCAGGAAATCTCCCCCTAGACCACTCCAGACACTGCAGCACCTGATTATGTTGTCCTGTCCATTGGAAATGGCAATTATATTATCAGATTTCCCTTCCACTGCCTTTAGGAAAACCGCATTCTTCTTGCTCTGGCAGCTGGTTTGGGAGGACGGCCCTGTGTCACTTGAGGCTACTGCTTAGAGGGGAGATGTCTGCACTCTGGACAGGAATAGAATGGCAGCTTTACTTCTTTTCCAAGCTTCTGCTGCTCCTTTATTAGCTGTATCCTTCATAGTATGGTACAATAGTTTAGTCTTTCTGGGGCCATTTCGTTAAAGCACTTTTGCTTCCACCCAAGGGAATGACAAGCCTCAAGGTGATTTACAGCTAGTGTTTTGAGAACTGTGGAACCTGGACCACTACAGCTGCATTATGTTCTGCCTTTTTAATAAATAGCGGTGTTTCAGCCACAATGGTAAGGTGATGTGTGTTTCTTTTGGGTCAGGGAGATTCCAGCTTTGGCCTGGAAAAGCACTTTGGATCCTTTTGGGGGAGCATCTGTGAGTAACAGCTGGGGTATGTAGGAGACTGAGCTCAGATCGCTTTTGATGTTCCCCTGGGGATATGACTTGACCCTCTTTCCCAGGGTTCCCACCTTTCAACACACCTGCAGAAAAGCAGTGGTATCTGGGTCTGCTCTTCACAGGGGAGAAGCTTCATTAATCAACGTCTGCGAAAATACCTTTGAATCTGTTGCCAAAGGGAATTCCCCAGGTGCCTGTTATCTGCTGCATTGCCATCTTACTGGAGCCCTGGCAACCTGTTTGTTGTACTCGTAGGAATGTTTTATGTAAGAAGGATCCAAGAAGTCCTTCAAAATTGATATGCTTAACCAACCTGTTGTAGCATTTTCTCTGAGATGCAGACCACTGTCGAGTTCTACTTTGGAAAATCACTTGGGCTCCTCAAACCCCAGTCACAAAATAAATAAATGAGAGGCAGACAGAATCTAGAATCTTTCAGCTACAGACCCAGGAGTCACAGCTGTCAGCATGTAAGCCGCAGCTAGTGTGGGGTAGTTCCTTAGGCCTCCACGGTGTGTTTCAATGTGAATGCCCTTGTTGGACTCCAGACCATGGTTCCTACTGATTTTTTTCTTGATGCCAGGCTCTGGCACACTTTTCCTGGTGCCTGCCTGGTAACAGAAGTTAACAGTGATTCTCACATCTGTGGTGCAAGGCCCCATCTCTCTTAGGGGAGAGAGAACCTAAATTGTTGATTCAACAATAGTCCATATTCTAAAGTGGTTTTAAAAATCAAGCACCTAGTTGTATTAGGCTTTTACCATATTCTCATTTACTATTTCTAATAATTTTATAAAATAGTGATCCTGTTCCCCATGCTTAAAGAGGAATCTGGAATTTCAAGAGATTAAGTAAATTGCCCAGTGAACACACACAGTGTAAGCGGCCAATCAAGGATTCAACTCCATCTTGATTTCACTCTTTATACTTGCTCCTGTAAAATGAGGATAATAAACACTTCTACCTCAAAGGCTGTTCAGAAGATAGAATAAAATCATTCCTTTAAATGCTTAGCTTGGTTCTTGACATCCTGCAAGCACTCAATAGATATAACTGTTGTTTCTAATATTCACCACAAAGGCCAAATGCCTATCAGAAATGAGAGCTTATTTGGTGGGATTCCATATAATTTTCCTATTAACAAGAGGAAGGATAAAAACTATTTGATCATCTCAATAGTTACTGAAACATCCATTTATGATTTAAAAAAAAAGTGGGTCTGGAGGGAATGTACCTCAACACAATGAAGGCCATATATGAAAAACCCAAAGCTAACAACATACTCGATGGTGAAAAATGGAGAACTTTTCCTCTAAGATCAGTAATAAGACAGGGAGGTCCACTCTTACCACTTTCATTCAATATAGTACTGGAAGTCCTAGCTGTGGCCATAAGATAAGAAAATGAATCCAAATCAGATTGGAGGATGCAAAACTGTCAATACTTACAAATGACCTGCTGTTATATACAGAAAACCCTAAAGACACCACCAAAAAATGTTAGAACAAATAGGATACAGAATCTGTTTAATTTTTATATACTAATACAGAACTGAGAAAAAATGCCTTTTATGTTTGCATGAAAAAGAATACCTAGAAATATATTTAACCAGAGATAAAAGATCTGTACACTGACACTGTAAGACACTGGTGAAAGAAACTGAAGATGAGTGTATTCTAAGAAATAAGGCAGACAGAAAAGACAGCATATGATTTCACTTAAATGTAGAATCTAAAAAAACAAATGAACAAAAGACCGGAAACAGACCCAAAGATACAGAAAATAAACTGTTGGTTATTTAAGGGGGAAGAGGATGAAGTTGAGTGAAAGAGGTGAAGTGGATTAATACATCCAAATGTCCAGTTATAAAATAAATCATGGGGATGTAATATACAGCCTAGGAAATAGTCAATAATATCGTAATACACTTAGGGTGACAGTAATTAGACTTATTGTGGGGATTTTGTAGTATATAAAAATATCAACCACCATGACATACATATGACAATAAATGTATGTCAATATACTTCAATTTTTTTAAAGGCATCCAAATTGGAAAGGAAAAAGTAAAACTGTCACTACTAGCAGATGACATGACACTATATAGACAACCTTAAATCCGGCACCAAAAAACTATCACAACTAATAAGTGAATTAAAGGTGCCAGATAGAAAATCAATATAGTAAATTCTGTGGCATTTATACACACTAATAACTATCAGAGAAATTAAAACAATTTCACTTACAACTGTATCAAAAATAATACTTAGAAATAAATCTAATCATGAGAGGAAAGACCCATAATCTGAAAAGTATAAAACCTACTGAAGGAAAGATTCATGCACTGTTGGTGGGAATATAAATTGGGACAGCTGCTATGGAAAACAGTATAGAGGTTCTTAAAAAAAATTAAAAATAGAAATACTATACAATCCACCAATTCTACTTCGGGACATTTATCTGAAGAAAATAACACTAATTCAAAAAATTATATGCTCCCTTATGTTCATTGCAGCATTACTTATAATAGCTAATATATGGAAGCAAACTAAATGTTCATCAATAGATAAATGGATAAAGAAGATGTGTGGGTGTGCACGCACACACACACCCTGGAATATTAAATAATATTGAATGAAATCTTGCCGTTTGCAAAAAACATGGATGGACCTAGAGGGTATTGTGCTAAGGGAAATAAGTCAGAGAAATTCAAATATTGTATGATTTCACTTATATGTGGAATCTATAAAACCAAACACATGAAAAAGCAAAACAAAGATTCATACAGAGAACAAACTGATGATTGCCAAAAGGGAGAGGTATGAAAGGATGGATTAAATAGGTGAAGGGGATTAACAGGTATAATATTAACAGGTATAATATTCCAATTATAAAATATATAAAACACAGTGATATGGTGACAGATGGTAAAGATGTATTGTGGTGCATTCCTAAAGTATATAAATATCAAATCACTATGTTGTATACTTGAAACTAATACAATATTGTATGTCAATTATTCAATTTAAAAAAACTGTGGCCTGAGAATCAATTTTTAGTTTAGCATCCATATAGGAGCTGACTGTGATCCTCCTCAAAGACCAAGGAAACCAGTGGACACAAACTCTGCTCTCTCTCACTAGCCCTCTCCAAGTTACCAGTATCTCTATGGAAAGAACTATATACATCTGTGCCCCAGCTTCTGTGGCTGCTGCTGAGGGACAGGTCTCTAAGTTGCCTCTGATAGCCAATGGGGCTTCCATTCAAGAATCTACAGTACCCCCCACAGGACTGTTAACAAAGAGGTAGTTTTTAACCCCTTCCCCCCAAACTCAGTACACAGAGAGTAAACACAAATGCCCATCTCCCAGTCTTTCCCTGAAAGGGGTCTATTTGCATACTTCAAAAGCTGCTGCCTGGGGGCTAGCCTTCTAATTTATCATGCACCTAGAGGCTGACTAGAACCTCCTTGAAGACCAGGGATGCCAGCAGATATCTGGTATCTTGCCCTCTTCCTCTAGGCTGCTCTAAGATCTCCCTGGAATGAACTTGTACATGACTGCAGTCCAGCTTTTGTGTTTGCCACCTAACAGATGGGCTTCTCAATTGCCAGCGTCTCAGAGAGAATGAGGCTTGCATTCATGAGTCCTACAGAACTGTAGCATACAAAGCAGTTCTTAACAGGCTCAGGATCACCCCTACACAGCTATATTCCTGGGCCCAATGCAGAGTAGAGGAAGCAAAAACACCCACCTTCCATTTCTCCCTAAATGGAGCCTAAGTACATACTTTCCCAGGTGCTGCCTAAGGATCCAGCTTCCAACTTGCTTGCATGTAGGTGCTGATGGCGATCTTTCGCTTTGGGACCCTGGCAAGTCTTGATGACTCTCAACTACTGGGAGCCAGTAGGAACAGAGATAGTGGCTTGGACAATCACAAAGGTTAAAGAGACAACTAGGAACATGGACTAGGATGATAGATGAGTTTCATCTCCTACAATGAGACCACTGTTAAGACTAGTTTAGGTGGCTGTTTTATCTAATGCACAGAAACACAGAGTCAAGGAAAATGAAGAAACAAACTATATTCCCAACTAAGGAACAAGACAAATCTCCAGAAACAGATCTTAATGAAACAGACATAAGCGAATTAACTGATAGAGAGTTCAATTAACAGACAAAGATGCTCACTGAAATCAGGAGAGCAAGTCATAAAGTGAGAATTTCAACATAGAGAAAGGAAATATAATAAAGTACCTAACAGATTACAAGGCTGAAGGATATAATTACTGAACTTAGAAATTTAATAGAGGCATTGAACAGCAGACTAGATCAATCATAAGAAAAAAATCAGTGAACTTGAGACAGGGAAGTAGAACTCATCCAATCATAGGAGCAAAAGACAAATGATTAAAGATAGCTTAAGGGACTTAGGGGACATAATCAAACAGACCAATATGCATATTTATAAGGGCCCCAGGAAGCAAAGAGAGAGAGAAGGGGCAGAAAGTTAATTCAAAGAAATAATGGCTGAACACTTCCTTAACCTGAGAAAGAAACAGACATGTAGATTCAAGAAATGCAGATTTTTTTTTAAAAAAAGGATGAATACAGAATAAAACACGTTATAATTAAATTGTCAAAAGTTAAAGACAAGGAGCGAATCTTAAAAAGCATCAAGAGAAAAACAACTTGTTATGTACAAGGGAGCCCACATACAACTTTCAGCAGATTTATTAGCAGAAACTTCACAGGCCAGAAGGGATTGAGATGATGTATTCAAGGTGCTGAAAGAAAAAAAACTACTAGCCAAGAATACCCAGGAAACTTGTCTTTTAGAATTGAAGGGGAGCATAGTATTACATATTAGAAACCCTAAAGACTACACAC